ATGCACTTGAGGTAGGGGCGGGAGGGAAGATGTTCTGGTCCTGAGTTGGGGAAAAGGAAGAGACAGACACGATCTGAGGGTAAGTTGGGATGGCTGCCTGCCGCATTTAGTTTAAAAAGGATACACCTTTTATACTCTACAGTTGTACATAGGATTAAACTGGGAGGAAAGGGGGCATGTGAACTGGGGTGTGGCTTTAGGTCAAGAGTCAACTCTAGCATTGACCTTGACTATAGGTACCAATCATGTGTTAACGGAAGTTCCTCTTGCCAGAGATAAGGAGAGTGACTGCTCTAGCAAGCAGAAACTTTCCTCAAGCCCCCAGGGAATGGAGACCCTTATTTTAATGCTTGACCTTAGGAAAAGGACTTCTATACTACAATTTAAAAGCAATTTTCATTCCTCAAGGAGATAGGCACTGAGCTATTCCCTAAATGTGTCCCTTTGTGTTTTACTGTTCCCCTCATATGCTCCTAAAAGGGAAGGTCTTGATATCTTACTCTTTTTCCATTATACAGTATCATTCTGATTTCTCTACTTATTTACTGAACTCTTGCCCTCTAATGGCCTCAGGCTCTGGATCTGAGGCATTTCATCCTCAGGATCAGACACGCTTAGGGAATTAACTTTCCTATTCTTGGTGTGATTAGGAGGGCATGATGGAATTCCTGGATCTACAGTGGCAGGGATGTTTTTCTAAAGAATTATTTTGTTTAGATAGGCTACCATTGTGCACATTTTTATCCGTTACCAAAGCCTGCACAAAGTTTCCCAAAGGGAAAGAGTTAATATGGAGAATCATTAAAAATGAAAGTACAAAGGCGCTGGAGAAGCGTGGTCTGCAATGTCGAAACGCTGGAACTTTGTCAAGCAGCGATGATGGTCACGCGATCTACGCCAGGGCCATATAACACAAGGCTTCTAGTGACCTTTTGACTCTCCTTTGGCAGACTGTCCTTGGGTCACACGTGTAGCATCACTGACTTCTCCTTGTTCTGTCTAAATGCCATAGTTTGAATATTACTGTTTGGCCTGCCGGTTGATGGTCATATGTGCTATTTTAACTTTGGTCTGTTGTAGCAGATGTAGCTGTGAACATTTGTATACAAGGTTTTCCTCTTTGGTTTTTTGGTTTGGTTTTGTTTTGTGTTTTTGAGACAGGGTCTCACTATGTAGCCCTGGCAGGCCTGGAACTGGCTTTGTAGATCCTGCTGATCTTCCTCCCCAGTACTGGGATGTGTGTACTCACCATTCATGTGTGTGACTCACCGCGAATGGTACACTTTTGTTTGTTTGTTTCTGAGACAGGATTTCTCTGTGTAGCCCTGGCTTTCCTGGAACTCTATTTGTAGACCAGGCTGGCCTTAACTCACAGCGATCAACCTGCCTCTGGTTCACGATTAAAGGTGCACATCACCACCATCCTGCTGTGTTTTGTTTTTAAGTGTGTGGGGTCCTCATGTTTTCATTTCTCTAGCTAGAGTTCCTGAGTGCAGAGTGGCCTGGACCTCCCTGTGCAGGCATTTGAGGAGCTGCTGGGCTCTTCTCCACAGGCTACACCTTTTTCCTTCCCCATTCTCAGTCTGCACGTTCCACTCTGACGTTTGTTGCCCGCTGCATTTTCTATTACTACCATCCTAATGGGTACAAAGTGGTATCTATTGCGTCTGTGGTTTTTATTTCCCGTTTCCCCAGTGATTAAAGACATTGAATGTACTTATGTGCTTTTCGTCTTTTGTAACTAGAACTGACATGTGTCTGTGCCAAAGATTTTCCTATGTTGAGTGGGAAAGGAAGGAAGGAAGGAAGGAAGGAAGGAAGGAAGGAAGGAAGGAAGGAAGGAAGGAGAGTGATATTAGCCTTTGGGGTGACTGTTTTGTTTTCCTTTTCGTGTGTGCATGTGTGGTGTGTGTATTTATGTGTCTGTAGGTGCACTTGTACATGCATGTAGAGACCTGAAGTCACACTCTGGTATTGTTTCTCTGGAGCCAACCAACCATCTTGTTTTTAGACACAGGGTCTCTCACTTGCCTAGCAGTCTCAGGGGTCTGACAGTTTCACTGGCACTGGCATTAGGAGCTCACCACCATGCCCAGCTTTTTATGTGGGTTTTGGTGTATAGAACTCAGGTCTTGGTCTTCATGGTTGCAAGGCAAGCACTTTTCTTACCAAGCTATCTCCCTAATCCTGAGTGATTAATTGTCAACAGACTTGCTTCAAACTTTCTTAGCTTGAATGCCTGTTCTCTCATCATTGCTGCTCTGAGGTTTTTCCATTGTGTGTCTGTTACTGACTACTAATTATCAAGTCCTTTCATGGGACCAAGATTCAGTAAGGAGTATTCCTAAAGCCTGTCATTATCCTCTTATTACTCTGAGATATGTGAGTATCTTCTCAATGAGACTTTTGAAGTCTTAACCCGTCTTCCTAACGGGAACAATGGAGGTGAATTCTAAAGGTGATTCACTGTGTGTGCTGGTAGAGTTTCTGTTATTTCCCATCATGCATTCTATGGGGGAAAGGCCGTTCCTGGAAATTCTATAGTTGCTTATGATTGGCCCCTTAACGGCTCTGAACTCCCTTTAGCTAGGACTTTGGACTCCAAGTGTGTACCTCTCTGCGTGTGTTGATTCTTTTCCTGTTGCTGGGATACAATTCAGTGAGCAAAGCTTGGCTCACGGTCCATCATGGTGGGGATGTCAGGATGGCAGAAGCCTAACACAGCCAGTCACATCACATCCACAGTCAGGAGCAGAGAGCAATGAATACTAGCTCACTGTCTCCATTTCATACAGTTCACAATCCTAGTCCAGGGAATGCTTTTACCCATGATTAAGATGAATCTCCTCATATTGAACAATGTAATCAAGATAATCTCCTACAAGTATGGCCAGAGGCCCATCTCCTGGGTGAATTTAGATTCCCATCAAGTTAATAGGGAAAAGAAACCTCTCACTGAGCTGGAATAATTTCACCTAGGTTGGCTCAGCCATCATCTCACTCCTAGGATGTAGTTCTGACCCTTCCAAAGGAAAGGGTTGGAAGCCTCCAGCCGTCTACCAAAGGCCTGGTCTTGCTCCCGTTATTGCTTTGGCCCTTCCCATGACTTAAACACTGAAACCCCGTTACAGCCTTCATCAAACTCATCAGTATGGTTAACTGAGGAGTGGAGCAGGATTTCCTGTCTGAAGGTTTATAGATAATCTTGTCAGCAGTTTAAGCTCTGCCCTAAAATAGTCAAAGAAAATACCCTAAAGCCCCCCCTTTTGGGTATAGCACCCTGCTAATATGGCCTGGGAAAGTCCCCTCAGATCGGAGGTGCTAATGAGTGTGGATTATCTAGAAGGAAGTGCTGCTTCATGTATTGGGGGGGATGGCATTCAAAGTATTAGCTCTCTGAGGGTGGACATTCCATCTTGCTCACTTTCAGTCCCCAGGACCTGGGGGCAGCAGGTACTCAGTGTGCATGTTTTTGAAAACCACATGGAGAAAGGAAAGAGGGAGGATCTTGTGTAATCCAGCCTGGAACTCCTCGTGTAGCCAAGGATAACCCTGAATTCCTGCTCTTCCCACTACTGCTAACTGGCTTTTCACATGCTAGGAAATATTATACCAACTGAGCTGTGTCCCCGGGCCTGACTGTTGTCTTTCTCTGAGCAGGTGCATGTAGGTAGCAGCCCTTGACTCGTGAGTCTTTGACCTAGACACTGGAACTTCAGAGTGGTGTGAGAAGCTATATACCTGTCTGTTTTCAGTTCTCAGTGTTGTGTTCAATAGATTTTGAGATACATACTTTGTTATGTTAGGTGACTGCACTCAACTGTAGGTTAATACAAATGTTCTGAATATGATTTTAAAAGACTAAGCTAAACTATGATGCTTGGATGATTTTAAGTATATTAGACACAATTTCTACTTAATATTTTCAGCTTATAAAGGATTTATTAGGACATCATCCCAGTAGAAGTGGAGAATCTGGATTCAAAGGATTCCTTAAACAAGACACGGGTCCCCACTGTGTCAGCTTTCTGTCATGGTGACAGAATGTTTGACACCACGGCCCTTGCTAAAGAGCGCATACCTGTGCCTTCCCATCAACACGTCTGCAAGCTCTCCTCAGGCCCTCCTTGCTGAGAAACCCCAATAGAGAGCACCGGGCCTGTCTGTGCTGTTATCAGACGGGAGACGAACACTTCACATCGAAACTCTGCCCTTGAACCTTTCGCTTTGTCTCATGACGACAGTGAAAGTGAGAACCACGGAGGAGCTGCCAGCCAGTCTTGGGCTTCCTGTGCAGCAGGCCCGAGACCCTGTGAGGTGCAGCTTCAGTTAGCTGGGGCAAGGGGCTGGGGTGAAGCTTAGCATGCACTCCGGCTTTGATCTGTGGCATCTCCGACGTAAAGCTCTGCCTCTGGCATCTCTCTCTGCTGGTGTTTGGGAGTGGCACCTGGCAGAGTCACTTACCCTGGAACACTGACAGTGAAACCCAGCCATGCTTAAACAATGCAGCGCCATCTCCCCTTTCCTTCTTAGTGTTCCCTGAGGGCACACCCACTGGCTTGGACAGCTCTCAAGCTGTATGCACAAACTTTGCTGCAGGCGCACAGTGAGTTCCTAAGCCCGAGTTACACATGCACAAAGTACGAAGTGGTCACAGGACTCTGCCCTCCCCATGGGTTTTTGCTGACATTTGGTGACATATCCTTCCATCTCCTCAGTACCTTGCAAAACAAGCTTCCTGTTTTGAACTAGGTCTAGAAGGGGGACAGCCCTACTACACCTGTGTCCACACACTCAGACGCACACTTCCTCCCGTGTATTTGTATAGCCTTATGTTGTTTTACCATATTTCTCTTCTGGGCTCCCGGATCCCAAATGTTAGCCTAAAGCACCGTGTCAGCACATGAAGCTGAGACGAGAGTGGGCATTCCATGGAATGCTACCTCAGTGCGGCTGCAGTTCCTGATTGTTGTGTTGCTAACTGTCCTCCTCCTTCACAGCAGAATGGAAGCCAGGCAAGGAAATCAGCTGACTCAGGAGCCAGAGTGAGAGCACCGCACCCCCCGCCCCAGCCTGCACCATGAACTTGCCTTCACCTTCTGCACGTTGAGAGCCAAGGGAAAGGGTGCATTGCTAGAGAGAGATGGCTTTCTTTACTCCCTGGAAGTTGTCCTCTCAGAAGCTGGGCTTCTTCTTGGTGACTTTTGGCTTTATATGGGGGATGATGCTTCTGCACTTCACCATTCAGCAGCGAACCCAGCCCGAGAGCAGCTCCATGCTGCGGGAGCAGATCCTGGATCTCAGCAAAAGGTACATCAAAGCACTGGCAGAAGAAAACAGGAACGTGGTGGATGGACCGTATGCTGGCGTCATGACGGCTTATGGTGAGTGTGGTGGCATGGGGATGGGTTGCTCCCCTGAGCGTGCCTGGGCTTTGGAGAGATTCCAGAAGTTCCCACATGTGGGCTTGCTTTGGATTGAAGATTCTCCGTTTCCATGGGTAGTGATTGCATTTGATTTTGAACATGCATCATTTTCGTCTCTGTATTTATATGTTTGAGTATGGATATGCACATAAAGAGGACAGAGGGTCATCTCAGGTGTGAGTCCTTAGCTCGCTGCCTGCTGAACTTCTGAGAGATTTTCTTGTCTCTGCCGCCCGTCTCTGTACAGGCACACCGGAATTATATATGCATGCTACTGTAGCTACATTTATGTGCATTCGGGGGATCTGAACTTAGGTCTTCACACTTGTTCAGCAAGCTCTTCTACCGACTGAACCACCTCCCAGCCCACAGGTGTACTTTTAAGAAGGTAACGCAGTGGCCTTGGTGGGACTTTAAGCTCCTGTACACATAGACACACACCCGTCCCCAAGCATGCCAGTCAGCACCCTGGAGCTCCCTGGGTTGTGTTTACAGCCAGTCCCCGCTCTGTCAACATATTTCTAGACTGTGCTCACAGGAGTGTGTTCATGGAATGCCGACAAACATTTTCATTATCTGTCCTTAAACAAGAAGTAATTAGATAGAGCGGAGGGGGACTGGCGTGAGGGGGGTGATGTTTTGGATGCCATCAAGGTCAGTGCTGAGCTAATAAACTGCCCTGTAGCTTTAGTGTTTGATATGTCAGACTTTATTGCTTGCCTTTAATTTTGCTCACTCCGAAAGAAATCTTCGTGTACTCATTGCTCATTTCCAGGTGCCTCAAATTCCTTGTCAAACGACACACGAGGGCTTCGCTTCCCTAGCATGCTTGGACTTTCTGGGTTGGATCCGTGCATAGCAGCATATGCCTGGAGCCCCAGCACTGTTGTGCTGGTGGTAGGAAAATCAGACATGCAGGGTCACCCTCAGCTACCTAGGGCGTTTGTGACTAGCCGGGGTCACATGAGACTGTGTGTGTGTGTGTTTAGATATATAAAAATAAAGTATGTATGTGAAATATATCTTATTTTTTCTGTTAAACTTATGCTTACGTTAGAAAAATTGAAGGTGTAAACAAGAAACAAATGAGGAAAATCACATAAAATCATATTATGCTCCATGCAGATTTTTCCATCATCATCATCATTTATTTTTATTATTATTATTATTATTATTATTATTATTATTATTATTATTATTATTATTATTATTATTATTATTGTATGTGCATGCCCAGTCATGTATCTGGGTGCATGTACCACTGCTCATAGTGGAGGTCAAAGGACAGCCTTTAGGAGTCAGTCCTCGCCTTCCACCATGTGGAACTCAGGTCATCAGGCTTGTGTAGCAAGTGCTTTTTACCTCTGAGCCATCTTGTCTGACCCTGATGGTGCAAAAATGCGCCTATACTTATAAAATATATACGTTGCAGGTGAACCTTAGGTTGCACTGTATTGGGAATTCCCAGGATGCCCTGTGGATCCAGAATGACCTGGGTTTCTAGAGGGTGAGCCCTTCTTAATCATCAAATGGAAAATTGAACCATCAAACCCAGATATGTATGGGCTTAGTGTCTGTACTTATGCTATAGATGGCATGCTGTGGTGGAGTAGAAGAGCTGGTGTCCTGCCTTATGACCCAGTCAAAGACATGCCCTCGAGGATATGGCAGTCACATGGTCATTAGAACGCTTGCTGCTGCAGGTTGTGTTTGGGCAGCTGGAGTACAGACACAGGAAATCACGTGCACACAGAAGCTTGGTTCCGTGGTGTGTATGTGTGTGTGTGTGAAGAGCTACTGCTGAGGAGCTCTGGTGTTCTTTCTCAGTTCTTAGGATCAGAATAGTCACACTATTGTTTTTAATACATCTCTTCGAGCTTTGTCAGCAACAGTCTTGGGGGGGGATGGCTCAGTTGGGAAAGGGCTTGTCATGCAACCACGAGGACCTGAGCTTGACCCCTAGCACCGATGTGAAAAGGTCAGGCATGGACAACAACTGAACCTACAACCTCAGCACCAGGGAGGCTTGTTAAACAGCCAGCCTATCAGGAGCTTCCTGCTCACTATGAGACCCTGTCCCAAAAAACAATGGGGAGAGTTAAAGAGGAGGAAGACATCCGGCATCAACCTCTTGCCTCCATGTACACACACACACATTCACAAGCTCACAGAAACACCACACACAGACACACACACACACACACACACACACACACACACGGGGGGGGGGGGGGAGGGGGAGGGAGAGAGAGAACAAGCCCAGCAACAAACACGAGGTGCCCAACCACACAAGTCATGTGACTGCATGACGACTTATATCACCCATCAGTTTCAGAGATCAGTTACAGCCGGAGAGAAAAGACTAGCACAGAACGTTGGTGTTGCATAAGTGTGATAGATGCTGTCTTAAAGGTTTTAATCCTACATGTACCCTTGTTGGGAAAGGACAACTTAGCTATAATTTCCTCTAATCACAGTTTATCAAACTTTTTCCATGGGCAAGACAAAAACATATGAGTTATATATTTATAGACTTGTGATCTTACTAGTTGTTTTTATTATGTGTTGATAAAAAGCTCAGAGTGCAGGCTTCCTGCATATTCTAGAGAAAATACATCTGGTCTTAGCTTTTTAGTGTGTGTGTGCCTAAGCATCTATAGGAATTATTTATTCCAATCCTTTCAAGATGAGCCTCAGTGAAGTAATAATTCATCTTTTCCCTCATATCAGCAAACAGTGACACAGGAGTCAATAGCAAGTCTAACATGCTTTCCTCTCACCATGCTGACAGGCCAATCTAAGTGGTCTTTGGTGCTGAGTTTGTGGAACTTACTAGAGTGTATGTGCTTGAGGTCTTTGAGGCTACCCTGTGGTGAGGTCCACTGAGACAAGGTTTACTGGTCCTATTGATGGTTTAGGTCTGTATTTCAGTAAGATTTTACTTGCATAATGTTTTCATTTCATTCTGTCACAGTTACATAGCACTTTGACCAAAAACTGCATAAGGAGGGAAAGGACCTGGATACAAGAACCATGGAGGAGCACCACTTGCTGGCTCCCTGTCTCCATCCCTGGCTCCCTCATGTTCTCATGCTTACGTAGCTTACTTATATAGCCCAGGACCTCCTGCTAGGAATAGTGCCTCCACAGTGGGCTGGGCCTTCCTATTTCAATTAAAAAAGCCAAAACAGTCTCTCAAGGACATGCCCAGACAGAGATTGTTACTTAACTGAAACTCTCGTCAGGCCATTATAGGCTGTGTTAAGTGGGCAGCTAAAGATCAGTAGTACACATGATAAGCTTTTAGCAGGAGATAGCAATAGCCCTTGCCTAGTTGGAATAATCAAAAATATCTCCTGGTATGATGATAATAAAGGTTTGTTTGTGTTTTTGCTTTGGAGCCTTGAGTTGGGTAAACTCACTGTTTCCTTGGCTTAGGATTTTGCGCACAAGCAACTAAGTGACAGGGTGATATTAGGTAGGGTGTGATGGAGTGCTAATCCTGGGACGCTGGAGAGACATTCTGTTGGCCCCACTTTCTCCTTTAATTTGTCACCGTTGGTGACATTGACAGATAGGCAGCTCTGGGAGGAGGAAGCAGGAGGATTAGGAGTTCAAAATCATCTTTGGCTACCCGGAGAATTTTGGAGACCAGCCTGTCTCGGGTAGATACCAAGACTGTGGGATGCTGTATGCTTAACTGGACACGTAGGCCATCTGCTTGCATACTCTTGATTATCTGCCATAGACACAACTTTTCACTTTTCATCTAAGAAGGGATTTGGTAAGAGTGGGATGGAGGGGGATGAGAGAGAGAGAGAGAGAGAGAGAGAGAGAGAGAGAGAGAGAGAGAGAGAGAGAGAGAGAGAGAGAAGGGTTATGTGTGAAAATTACCAAAATGTATTATGTCCATGTATGAAATTGTCAGAAAACAGCAAAGTGAAAAACTTCTCCTCCCAGAGCATCTTGGAATACTATAAATAGATCTTTGATGTTTGAAGAGTTTTGATTATTGGTTTTAGCTGATTCCTGATGCATTAGAATCCCTGCTTACAGATCCCAGAACAGCAGTGTTGATCATAGGCTTTGCCTGTGAGCCAAATTCAGGGTGTAAATAAAGTTGTATTGGCACATGGCCACTGGCATTGTTTATAACAGATTCAATTACTTAGAACCATGGTGACAGCAACATTCATTTTACACAACTTCTAAAACATTCCAAATCCATCCTACCCCAGTCACTGTAGCCATTCTCTCTCTGGTCATAGCCTTTAAGGATTCAGCAGCTACCCAGGATTCCTTTGGTCTAAGGCAGTCTGCAACTTACAGCTTTGTGGCTGAATCCTCCTTGCTACCCAGTTTTGCAAGGAAAGTTTGTGAGAATTCAAGTACATTAGTTACTGGAGGAGATGATGGAGCTCTATCCAAGGTCATTCAGGCCTCAGCTTAGTTCACTGTCATTTTAACACAGAACATCTATATGTGAAAGGAATATCATTCCACACCTGCAAACTTTGCAGCTTGGATGCGTTTTTCTGGAATTCTTGATTTGGGTATGAAAGACTTCAACCCCTCTTTGTGATGAAATGCTCCTCTCAGCCCTCGCCCCCACAGTTTTTCCTGTCTTTCTATCTTGCTTCAGTTCTTAAGAAATAAGAAGAGAAAGCAGAATGAAAAGAAACTTCTCAACTCCGTTTGGGACTTGGTCATTCAGATGAGCTGCTGAAAGGTCCCCAGCAGCCTGTACAGAACAGTGGGGACATTCATCCGTGGGGTGCAGAGGGTGTTGGCTCCTGCCTCCTAGCTACACCTGCTTATTCCAGGCCAGCACAGCATGGGCTGGGCCTGTTATGGCATCGTGGATGCTGTCATTCACTCTCGTCAATGCTGTTCTTGTTTTTGAGGTGACCCAATCTGTCTCTGGCTGCTTGACCCAAATTCCCATCCCCAATGGTGAT